TATACATAAATATATTATACTTATATATTATTCTTATATACAGTTGTAATATTGTAAAGTTATAGTATAGTTTTATTACAAATACTAAATAATAATTATTGATTATAAAGTTGTATTAACCATAACTGTTTCGTGTCGTGTAAGTTATTTTTGAACACAAATATGTGCGCTTGCCCACATATTATATTTTATTAGATATTTTATTTTGTATGTAAAATATTCGCCCCCCCTCTCCCCCCCCGTAATCTCGGGCTGGATCCACGCCTGTACGTACACTATATTACAGTGCTGTAGTCCTAAAAAAAGCAGAGGGAATACTATGAGTTATAATATTAAACATTTATATACTATCATTTATCATTACTTCATTAGGTATCACTTTGGTAGAGGGTAAATAACACAGCACACATAAGTACATTAATAATTGTGCAAATTAAAATTAAAACTAAACATATTTTATATAAATTATGTTTTATACAAATTGTCTATCTTAAGTGATTCGCTTAACATTCTTAGTTTTTCTATCAAAAATATTAACAATAATCTAATATTATTTGGTAATTTCACTACAACATACGACCTATACGACCTTAATCAGAAGGTGTACGGAGTTTATTAGAAATAACCAGAAAGTTTACGGCGCATACTCTGCCGTATACCCTCCACTACAGCACTATTATATTGATGTTATRAATTCACATCATACCTGTTGAATTTGCGTATATCGCAAAAACTGTTCGACCCGCCTCCGAGAACGATTTCGTACCCGAACGACGACGGTTCTCTGGCCAACATGATGTGCGCGTCACTTGCCGCTTGCACGTAAAACTTGAACATCACTGAGCCATCCGCCGACGGAATTTCAGTGGCGTTGTTCCAATTCGAATACCCGTAGCCCACCGTGTAAGTGGTCGTACATATTTCGCCTACATTTAAAGACGGCGAGTTGAAACATACTCGTCAAAACGGTATAATACATAATATGATTATGTCTCATCGAAGCATAAGATCAATATCATTAATAATGCTTATGTGCTAAGTTTTAAACGTAAATGCTCAATAATGTTGAACACTAACACCGTGTAAGTGGCGAAACGAACTTAAAATAATCCATAAGCAAACTTACAAGTTACGATTTACACACCCACCCAATCACCCCCAAACCTTAAAAAAATTAGAAGCAATCGCTTCTCAAAGACCACGGTCGTTTCGCCAGTGCAGTATATTATACCCATCGTATACGCTCGCTGATGACTCTCTTTGCGGCCAAAACAAAACGTTTAAGATACCTACCTATTTTATTTGATATTATTCAAAAAAGCATTATAAATATTAGTTTTATGAGAATTATTAAAAAAAAAAATAAATATAAATATATAATTATAAAAATAAAAATACTCGCCTAGTCGCCTATGTACTTTTGTCATCATTAATTATTGATCGGYGGTCATTGATTGTGATGACGGCTACCGATTCAAAAACAAATATATCTATTTTGTGTATAGTAAATTAATAATTTTTACCAATAAGACTTATATAGGTATTTAATACTTTTCCACGTGTATAACATAAATTAAATATTATTAAGCTTTTTGGTTTGGCTTAAAAACGAATCGGCCGAAAAGTGAACAGTACGAAGTCGGTCGAAAATGCAGCGGAAATAAACTTATATAAATACATAGTTAATTTATCGTATATTATTATTAGTAATATTTATAATCTACCAACCTACCGTTAATGATCTGCAGTAGACCATGCAGACTCGACACACACAAAATGAGTAGAAATGCTAAAATTCGAAACATAATTCAGACGACGAGACGTTCCGAAAAATTCGTTTTAAACCCGTTRTGGATTTCGCTTCGCGTTATGGTATTTAAATATTAATATAAGTGTGTTAGGCGTGATATATACGTTGAGTGGTAGGTACCTACTGTACACACACGATTAGTACAATATCTGAAGTCTGTCTCGCCTCTCGCACATCATTATCGTATTCCGTATTTCAAATTTTTTTACTATAAAAAAGTTATACGTGACCAAAGGGTTACGATAACACTGGATATCGCATAATAATTACAATATCATTATTATAATACACTATGTCCGGTGTAGACGATTAGACGAACACAACGATATTATGTCCCTAAATAGATAACGACCGTACACGAAAAGTATACGCAGCTGTAATCGAAATTATTTTTATGATTCGTAAGTAAACTAATATGATAAAATAATATCAATATGTGGTCTAAATATTAAATAATAAATATTTTACGCCTAAAGAATAATTATAAAATAAATATGAACATACAATCTTTATTATATCATTGTTGAAAATATTGTTTTTTTTTTTTTTTAATTCATAGTTCCTACTAGATCCAATTTGCTGTTAGAAATCAGTGAAGCATTTAATTTTGAAAATCAGAGCATGCTTTCAACTAGCTAGGTACTTATTGTGTCTACTACATGCGCACACAACAAATAAAATATCCCAGTAAAATCATAACATTCATAACATTCATTGCTCCATTCAGAATCTTAAATATCTAGAAATTGCAACGTGTAGATTCAGCTTCTCATTATATTTATACTAGACTTAGACTACTCAGTATACTTTTACTCACTTAATGCACCTACAATGTACATACTTATTAACAGATAATTTAAAAAAATTATTTTTCATGTCAGTGTATTTTCTTGAATAAGTAATTTTTTGTTAAGCACAAATATAATATTATTCAGAATWAATGAATAAATCGACTCCAAAAATGAATATATTATATATTAAAAGATTATAAATAATGACTAATTTCTCAAATTAATAAACAAATTAAAAAGTAATAATTTGATGTAATTAGCTGTAAAYATGAAATTTATACTATTTTAAACAACTATTATTCAAATCTGAACAATACTACATCTCAGTATTTAAGGCTAATGTCCTACAGCTGTATATCCAATACAACCATTTATTTGTGCTTTGGAAAAATAAATTGTACACAGGACAATATTCATTCTTGTGCATACAATAATTCCTTACACAAATGCTACAACTAAGTACACATACAGATGAGATATGGTAACCAACTAGAATTTTGTTTTATTAAACTTTACTAATTTTTACTTTAAAAATTATTTGAGTTAATAATGCAATATCCAATTTTCTTAAATAGAATTGATTCATCAACAATTTAACATTCAAACCACACTATGAGTTATATACTACGATATGGAAAGTTGGTGAAAAAAATACACAAAAGTGCGTATGTAAAAAAAAACATACAGTGCTGATCTCATTAAATTATTAGTAAATGTTAAACAAAAATAGCCATCAGTTAAATTGCATTGGAATTGTTAAATCTTTATCAATGATAGCAAATTATTGAATAGAGAAAGCCAATGGTTTGTGCTGGTTTTTTTCATAAAAATTAAAGATTATGTAATAGGATAATTAGACTAATTACTTAATAATAGATCCATTGTTATACTTATAATAAATAATAAATAATAATTGTTAACACATAGATTCATTTAATAATATTATAACCCACAAGTAATTAACAGCAAACACAACAAAATGTGCATTATTAATACATAATAAAATAATAATACAATAATTTTAGCCTACATTTATTTTGACTAAAATACAATAATATATATTGTTTTTTTTTTTGCTGTAATATACATATATAAAAATATAGTGACTCTATAGAATGAGCACTTATATAATAAGGTCTTTTTTTAAGTCACTGTTAACAGTAATATTATAATTAGGAAACATTTATAAATTAAACTAGTAATTAATTTCAAAAAAAAAAAAATAGAATGAAAAACAAAGAAAAAGATCCACACTTTAAAAAACTAACAGTGTTTAAGTCCGAAAAACTATGAATGTGGGTAAAATAAGCTGCACAATATTGTACAGTATTTTTAAAAAAAATAAATGGGAGAAAATATTAAATAATTAAATAATAACAGTGAAAACAAGTTATATTGAATGGTCAATTTGTGTTTGGAGGCTATGGATCTTTGACATCAGTTCGGCATTTTCGATGAAAAGTTCTTTGACAATCATATTATCAGCACTCATGAGTTGTCTATTCTGAATAAAAAAACAATATCAATATCAGTATCGACAGTATCAATAGGTATTGAATTTTTTTATTAATGTTTATTGTTTTCATCAAACAATACACAAAATGAATATAAGACAACACTAACTTGTTCATTACTCATATTAATTTGTTTTTCAAGTTTATCTTGTGATGACAGGAATAATTTTTGTACCATATTAATTTTGAACTGATGCTCATCCCACACAGCTAAATTTAAAACAATTAAACCAATAAAATAAAATA